ACATAAACCTATAAAAACCTCCGTATCCCAAAGCAAGGGGTCTCACATCTGAGACCCGCTGAGTCGGTGACAGAGTGGGCCCAAGCTTAAGCTTGCAGCAACAAAAGAACCCTTGTGTATTTGCATCGGTCGGCTCCTTGGTGGTCTTTGGGGTCTTGCGAACTGGGCACAACAGTGGTGACCCTGTAGAGATAAGTCACTGTAGTTAGTGGCTGAGGAAGATTGGGTCAACTGGGAACAAGAGGAGCTAACCTCAGGATTTGAGACCTGCCGCTTCCCACAGATAGCTAGAGAAGAGTAAACATACTGAAACGCTGCCCAGTGCCAACTGGGGCCCCTCACACTGCCCAAAGCTTAGGAATATTTGCATTGACTCTCAAACTTTCCCAAGACTGGCACCATGAGGTTCTGAGTGGTGCCAGTGTGGGCGGTGGCCTCACCTCTTTCTGGTTTTGATTTTTGCTTCTTAAAAACTGTGCCAAATGAAGGAAATGAAACTACTGAAAACTCTCCCCGGCAGGCATTTGACGTGGAGCAACAGAATAATTCCAAGTTAAGGCCTTGAAGGAAATCCCCTCCCTGTCATGTGCTGAGGCCAGAAGTGGCGGACACACTAACCCATTACCTAGCCAGGCCTAGCAACCAAGCTCAAAGGCCAGGAGGGAAGGTCGCCTTGTCTGTTCAGGGGCTGAGAGCCAAATGCAAAATGGAGAATGCCAGAGGTGAGAGCAAGGACCAAGGCTCAGCCTGTGGGGAACTGGTAGTTCCAGGTCTCCCCACTCCATGGCCGTGTCCAGCCTCTGTCTTCTTGCCCTCTGAAGGCAAGAAGTTGACCCCTTTTCTCTCACCAGATCCATTGCATGTTCTGCCCTGGTTCAAATGTTTGCCCCGTCAGGCTCCACTGTAGGAGTCCTCCCACCCTGGTTCTGAAAAGTGTGTGGTCATCATCTAACAACAGTGGGAATGGGAGGGTAGAAGACAGCGTTCCCTTTGATCTCTGGGAGGCTTTAGCTAGCCTACAACTGACAACTATTAGAAAATTAAGAAAGAAAACAAGGGGCTGGAGAGATGGCTCAGGGATTAAGAACACTGGTTGTTCCTGCAGAAGGCCCAGGTTAGGATCCCAGCACCCACACGGCAGCTAACAACTGTCCGTAACTCCAGTCCCAGGGGATCCAACAGCCTCTTCTGTCCTCTACCGGCATTGCCCGACACGGGTGCACTTACCTACATGCAGGCAATACACACATACACATAAAATAAAAATTAATACATAAAATTTCAAAAAAAAAGATGCCGGGCGTGGTGGCGTACACCTTTAATCCCAGCACTGGGGAAGCAGAGGCAGGCCTCTGTGAGTTTAAGGCCAGCCTGGTCTACATAGTGAGTTCCAGGCTACCTGGGGCTCTAGGGAGATCCTGTCTCAAGAAGACAAAACAAAACAAAACAAAACCAAAAACCTCCACTAAAACAGCTCTCAAAAGACAGAAAAGAGAATCACAGACAAGGGAGATCTATTGCCTATTTCTCTCCCTTTTTTTTTGCTCCTTCCTCTTTGAGCAAATGTTTACTGAGGCTCTTTCTGTACATTGGGCAGTTTGGTTTTTAGATTAGTGTTGAGAGGTAATAGTAAGGAGAGGCTGAGTCAGGCATCTGGCCTCTTCTCTCACTGAGAACTGCTGGTTCCCTGCTTTTACCTTGGCTCTCACAGGTATGCAGGAGCACTGCTTGATGACGGGCTGATGCTTAATATAGATTGTCACCTCTTGACAGGATCTAGAATCTCTGAAGAGCAAGCCTGTGAGGACTTATCTAGATTGGGCTAATTGAGGTGGGAAGACCTGCCTTAACTGTGGGCGGCACCATTGGATGCGTTGGGGTCCTCCACTGAATAAAAAGGGGAAAGTGAACTGAGTACTAGTACTCACCTCCTTCTGCTTCCTGAGTGCAGCAGGGGAGTGGAGGCAAGAGGCTCAGGAGGGCAAGGCCAGCTGAGGCTAGGTAGTCAGTTCAAGTCAACCTAAAGTACATGGGACCCAGTCTTAAAAAATGAAAGAAAGGGGCTGGAGAGATGACTCAGCGGTTAAGAACACTGACTGTTCTTGCAGAAGACCCGGGTTTGAATCTAGCACCCACATGGCAGCTAACAATTGTCTGTAACTCCAGCTCCAGGGGATCTGACAGCCTCTTCTGTCTTCTATGGGCACAACCTGGTCTACCTAGTGAGTCCCAGGATAGCTAGGGATACAGGGAGACTCTGTCTCAAAAAAGATAAGAAAAGAAAAGAATTATTCATACCTATAATCTCAACATTAGGGGGAGGAAGAAGCAGAAACTCAGAAGTTCAGGGTCATCCTCAGCTACATAGCAAATACAAGGCTAGCCTGGCCTACTTGAGGCCCTGATTTAAGAAAGGAAAGCCAGCCAGGTATGGTAGCACATGCCTTTAATCCCAGCACTTGGGAGGCAGAAGCAGGTGGATCTCTGTGAGTTCAAGGCCAGTCTGGTCTCCATAGTGAGTTCCAGGCCAGCTGGGGCTACAAGGGGACCCAGTCCTAAAAAAGACCAAAAAGAAAAAAAGAAAGAAAAGAAAAGATAGAGAAAAATGAATGAGGAGGCTAGAACTTAAGCCTCAATAACTTTTAAATCTGCTGAGTCTGGATTTAAACACTGACCCATGTAAGGGCTTCAATGGTCAGCCATAAGCGGGCTCTTGGCAGGGAGTGAACTGACCCCTCCCCATTTTTGTACTGTGCCCCATAGTGAAGGGGTAGAGTCCAAGTTGGTGATGAACAAGATTTGGAGAGAGACAGTCAATTTAAGGAAGTTACTGAAATCATCCACACATGAGTTAGTGAGATCTAGACCCTTAAAAAAAAAAAAGAGAGAAAAGAGAAAAGTGTAAAAGAATTAGGAAGTAAACAAAACTTTAAAGGCCCAGGAAGCTCCTGAAACTTACAAGATTGACAGGGCCCTTCCCCAACATTATAGAAGCTGTAGCAAATCCTGTGGAGAAAGACTGTCACCGGGGAGCTATCTGTATGCTGTGCAGGGACTTCAGGGGTCCATCTTTCATGGGTTCTCACCCACACTAGGGTGGTTTTCTCAGTGCAGCTGTCTTTGAGTCACCCATGCCCCTTTGAGTAACCCCAGAAAACTCACTGGTTCACTAAGCTAGACTTGGTCTGTCATTGGTGCCCTGTCTGGGGTGAATAATTGTCATACAACAGACAGATTCAAGAAAGATTCTCAAGATAGCACACACCTGTAACCTCAACACGTAGGAGGCTGAGACAAGAAACTCTGAAGTTGAAGGCCAGCCTGAGCTACAGAGTAAAACAAACAGAATGGAATGAGATGGGTAGAATCTGCATCTGGGAAGGAAGATGAGCTACCTAGGTGGATGCATGCCCCAAATAGTGACTGTCTCACACTAAGAAAAGCTGGCCAGGACAGAGGTTGAATTCCCTACAGGATACATAGTGTTGTGGCAGCTCTGGGACAAAAATATAAATATGGTCTTCTTACTTGGAAGAGAATTTTGGAGCTAGAGACCAAAATTTGGGTGTTATCCACATACTGGAAGATAGGGGAGACATGGGAGCAGAGGAAGTTGGCACAGCAAAGCGGAAGAAGCCTGGGTCAGAAACCATGATGTGTGACAATTTGCTTAGTTTTTTTGTTGGCACCATCGTTACCACCTTTACAAGTGGGTATTTCAGAAAGCAGAGGCATTTTGTTGGCTTCTTGGAGCAGGAAGGACTTGCTCATGGTTGCTTAGGATGGAGAAGGATAACGATGTTTAACAATCACGGAGCATCAGGCTGCAAGAGCAGCGTCCAGCTCTCAGGAAACCCAGTAATCCGATGGGAAATGATAGAGCAGATCTGCAGACCTTTTCACCAGTGTGGCCCCACACCATCATTCAGCTTCTTTCATTTGCCTTCTTCAGAGGCGTAGAGCCTTAAAAACAGGGGCTCTGAGACAATGTGCATGAAACTCAGGACAGAGCCTGGTGCCCTTTAAGGAGGTACATAAATAATTTGCATAATTCTTTAAAATTCTCCTTTGACTCAAGCTAGCAGGGAACTTTGTACAGAACAGATGAAACAGCCTATCCATGCTTAGTGTAGCCAAAACGCTCATACTGACAGTCTACTATGCAAGGTTCACAAAAAAATTTCTTTTCCTTTCTTCCTTGGGTTTGTTGGTTGGTTGGCTGGGGACAGGGTCTCAATGTATTCAAGGCTGGCCTCAAAGTTAACTAGGTAGGGAGTAGATAACCTGGAACTCTGTTCTTCCTGCCTCTGCCTCTCCGGTGTTGAAATTACTTCCTTTTCCATTTGTTTGTTCGTTTATTTTAAAGCACCATGCCCATATAAGATGATTGATAAGTACTAGTTAAGTGGATAAAAACAAAGACTAGTGAGTGGACGACCCTCCTAGAAGATGGACTCTCCCTCTTTTCAGTTAAAAATAAACAAACAGAAAAACAAAACCAAACCACTTGTTGCTCTTTCCCAGTCTGCCCCAATTTTACCCTGGGACAGAAGGTCGGAGAAGAGCTACTGGGTTAGCAGACGTTGATTGATAAGTACTAGTTAAGTGGATAAAAACAAAGACTAGTGAGTGGACGACCCTCCTAGAAGATGGACTCTCCCTCTTTTCAGTTAAAAATAAACAAACAGAAAAACAAAACCAAACCATTTGTTGCTCTTTCCCAGTCTGCCCCAGTTTTACCCTGGGACAGAAGGTCGGAGAAGAGCTACTGGGTTAGCAGACGACACACTTGGACCTGGCAGCTTTCCCGCTCACCCCTCCAAGGCAAGGGAGCCAGGGCAGGCTGCTCAGCACCGCCGGCAGGTCTTTAGAGACCTCGGTAGGGTACCGGGGCCGGAATGCTATGCGTCCCTCTCCCATCCCCCGCGCCCCCGGGTCGCAGTTCCTTCTAAGACGCCCGCTGTGTGCGCCCGAGTGCTGAGTCGCTGAGCAGCGAGCTCTCCATGTGACTTCAGTTTCCGTCAGTTCCTTCCGCAAGAGCTAAAATAACCTGATGCCCCAGTGCGAGGAGGCAGCGCCGCGCGCTCTCGAGGAGGAGACCCGGGCCCCAGAGACCATGCGCCCCGCGGAGCCGCCTGGGCCTGAGGGAGCCGTGAGTATTTCGTGCGTGGGCTCCCCGCCGGGCATCGCCAGGCTTCTCCAGGTGGGCGAGCTGGGACCAGGTTGGGTGGTAGGAGGTCAGGCTCACTGGGAAGTTATGCTGGCTGTGTCCAAACTCCCGCCTCTAGGCTGGGGTTGGGGGTACCGCTCTGGTGTAGGTACAAGTCCCTCCCTCAGGGGCCCTTATTGCTGAAAGGGAAGGTGTGATGTGGGGGAAGCAGATAGGGCTTCAGAATCAGCTTCAGAATCAGTGGGATTTCAGTCTCCGCAGGGAGAATGTGAGCAGGCCTGCAAACATTTCAAAGCCTCAGTTTTCTCACCTGCAAAATGGGAACAATAACGCTCCTTGGTTGGGCTGAATGTAATGGGCTAACGATGTGACATGAAGGGTGTTTGTATCTCTTCTCATCACACCACATTATTTTAGATTCGCTATTCATAAGCAAATTCATGGAGACTCATATACAGCTACACCTTCTTAACCAGGATGTTCCAAGTGTTAGCTGTGTGTTCTTTAAGGCCTTGGGAAATCTGCAGAGACAGCAAAGCCCGTTCTAGAGCCTTTGTTCTGGGGAGAGTCCACCAGGGTCTGTTACTCTGATCCCAGCTACGGAGTGTCTGAGCAGGACACTCTGAGCCAGCCTCTCCTGACTCCTGTCCAGTGCTCTGCTGTAGCCTTATGGCCTCTCCTGGTATAGACACGTCCCCAAGTATCTACACAGACCCAAGAGCTGGCAGGAAGAAACACTTCCCTGAGAGCCTGCTGCAGGCTCCACGTTGCCGGTGGAGAGGATGAACACGTGCCCCATAGTGACTGGGATTGGAGCTGCTGAAGCAGAGCCCTAAGGTGGAGTCCTGGGCAGAGTTAGTCCCAGATGGGGAGTGAGAAGACCCAACTGGAGGGACAGCCATTTTTTAGGGGATTTGGCCTATAGAAATGTTCAGTTATGCAGCTAGCCCTCCTTCATTTCCTGTGTCCCTTTTGTGTACTGACTGTGCGGCACAGACTATTGCAGGACTGCAGGTGTTTGCTGACCTTTTCTAGCCAGGATACATCTCCTATAGGTTGTATATGTGCCCCAGCTTTCCTAGAGGGGATTATAGACTCATGGACCCAGAAAAAAATTATCAGCGCTTGCCTTTAGTTTTAAACCAAACAGCTCTCAGAGAAGGTGTGTCCAACTGGTGGGGCCTTCAAAGGGACTCCCTGGTCACTCTCACCCACTTGATCCGCTATAGTCCTTAAACCATCATCCAAGAGCATCTGCAACAGAGCAGGCTCTGACTATTTTTGTTTTGCGGTCTCTTGTGAGGAACACAGGCACTGGTAGGTCTGTCTCTGATCTTCTAGACTCAAAGAAAGCACTAGTATGGATCCCAAGCTGCCTCCCGGCTGTAATTTGTGCTCCATCGCAGAGTGGAGCCTGGTCTTTCCCGCGGATAGCTAGCAGTCCATGTCGCCATGCCCATGTAATAGCCACATATGTCAGGAGAGGGTGGGCTTACAAACACACTAAAAAGTATTGTCTTTCTCAACACCTGCTTGCCTGTAACCGGCACAGGTGTCCACACACGCTCCTGGTCTGCACACACTGCAGGTCAGTGACACATTTTATAAATATTTCTGCCCTTCGAGGAATTTATCATACTCTCTTTCTTCCAAACCATTCTTCCCAGCTTCATCGCTGAGCAAAGGTCATGAGTGCCATCTGTGGGGGACTCACAGAGAAGTGAGATGATTTCTGAAAGGCTCGGTGAAGAAAGGACATTGGTGCTTCTGTCTCTTAAAACCACACGTGTAACTATAAATCTGTGCTCAGGGGTCTACTAGATAAAATTCTTTTTATTTACATTTGGTGGCATGGAGAATCAAACCCAGAGACTTGTACAAGGCCAAGACTCTGCCACTGGGCTACAAACATCTCCAACCTTCTAGGAAGGATTGTTTAAAATTCAAATCATAAAAACCCAACTGAATTGGGTTCAGGACAAAAAGATGGTTTGTTGTTCCTATAACTGGAAAGTTTAAAGATACTGCTTCAGGCATGACAGTTTCAGGTCTCAGAAATGCCCCTAGAAATCCATCTGTCCCCATTCAGCTTTGCTGTCCTCTGAGTGGGTTTCATTATCAGACAGGTCCTGGAGTTGGAAGTAAAGAAAGCTACCTACAGCTCCAAGTTAGCCCCTACCCATGTGACATCTGAAGCAGGAGGAGAGAAACGGTCCTTGAATCGATGCTTGCAAGATCAGCTCTGTAGTGTGCCCCATACAACCCAGTCGCTTAGTTATGGACCTAGAAGGCTGTAACAGGGTCAACCTTCTTCATGGTCCTTACAGCTGGAGTCAAGTTGGCATCAGGGGCTGGAGAGATGATTCGGTACTTAAGAGCACTGAGTGCTCTTGCAGAAGACCCAGGTTTGGTTCCCAGACTCACATGGTGGCTAATAACCATCTGTAACTCCAGTTCCAGGGACTCTGTCAACCTCTTCTGGCCTCCATGGGCTTTGCCTGACTCGGATGCTCTTACATACAGGCAAAACACTCATACACATTAAATAAAATAAATTAAAAAAAAATTTATTGTGGGTAAACAAAAACAACTTTTCTAGAGCAAAATAGCCAGGTGCTGAGACCAAATCATGTTTGTCTTTAATGTGTGACTTCAGCCTCAACAGAGGGAGGAAGTAGGACTCTGTCCTGGCAGTGAAGTGGGCATGAGGAACAAGGGACCAGTACTGGCTCAGCAGGACCACAAAACCCTGTGAGGCCCTGGGGACTCCCCTCCTTCAGCCCCAACCCTCACATTTACCACAGTCAGGCACTGTGCTGAGGGCTTGTGCCCTGAGCAACTTTCTGTTGCCACCTCCATGAAAGATAAGAACGAGGAGGGGATTTCTCCTCAGGAGTCAGCGTCTGGGGCTCTGACTTTTCACCTTGGTTCTTCTCAAGCAAGGCCCAGGTGTCTGAGGTAGCCCTGGTTTCTCCTGGCTTTTCAGGATTCCCCCAGGTGCCAAGGATGTCCCTCAGTCTGCAGGATCAGTGGGAAACAGCTCTCTCTTTGCGTGGCCTGGGACCACCTCTCTGAGCTTCAGGAATAGGCTCGACACTTGAGGCCTCCTCATGGGACTGTCCCAATGGCCTTTCTCTTGTTCTGGGTTATTGGGCCTTCCTCCAGTCCTTAGCTTGAAGCTTCTATTTTAACTAATAATCTTGGCTTCTTCTTTCTAACTCCCCAGGGTTTTCAAGTTTCTCTAGCTCCTTTGGCAACACCTTAACATACCTTCATCTTACCTTATCCCCCCAGAAGACTGCCCCCACTGTACAAGGGTGCTAGTCAGAATATCAAAGACAGCAGGGCAGTCTCTGATCAATTAGAATAGATCTTGTGATTAAAAACAGAAGTCTGAGGGGTCAAGTGTTACCTCTTTGGCTGCTGAATCATAGTGGTACCCTGAGAGTTCTGGAGAGTGGAGAATGTATCTGGGGCTAGAGGCTCCTCTTGGCTTCTTACCAACAAACTAATACCTGTATACCCTGATTGAACATTTAGATGACAAACACCTCCCCAGCAGGTATACATCCAGCACCTCCTTCCTGCCTCTGAGCTAAACCAGAGTAGTTGACTATGGCCTTTTGAGCTGTGGATTTCTTATCCAAAAAATGGAAATAATAAGCAAGGTCTTGACCAGATATTTGCATACTCCAGTTCAAATATGGCAGCATTATTCATAGTGACCAAAAGATGGAAACAGCCTAAGTGTCCATAAACTGAGGAATGGATGAAGAAAATGTGGTGAATATCATAGTGAGCTTTAAAATGGAATGACATTGCCAGGCTTGGTGGCACATGACTTTAATCCCAGCACTCGTGAGGCAGAGGCAGGCAGATCTCCATGAGGCCAGCCTGGCCTACATACAGAGTTCTCATACATGTCATAACATGATGAACCTTGAAAACATATGAAGTAAAATAAGACAGACATAAAAGGACAAACTACATGATTCCGCTTAAATGAGGACTAGAACAAGCAAATTCACAGGGAAAGATGGTGGTTCACTGTGGGGAGAGTATTTAAATGACAAGAGTTTCCAGTTGGACTGATGGATGGTGGCGATGGTTATGCAACAATGTGAATGTACTTAAAGCCACTGAATTACAATTAAAAAAAAATTAAAGTGATAAGTTGCTACCAAGGTAAAAAAGTAGAACTCACTCCTACAGCATAGAACTCTTGTTTATGTTAAATACCATCAGACCTTTGCAAGCACAAGTGTTATTAGCATTACCAACTAATAGCATTAAGAAACAACTCAGTTCTCTTGACTTTATGCAAGAGTTTTTTTTTTTTTAAAAAAAAAAACAAACTTTATAGCTGGTTGTGGTGGCGCACACCTTTAATCCCAGCACTCGTGAGGCAGCAGCAGGCGGATCTCTGTAAGATCAAGGCCAGCCTGATCTACATAGTGTGTTCTGGGACAGCTGGGGCTACAGGGAGACCCTGACTCAAAAAGACCAAAGGAAAAACTACCTTCCTAAATATAATAAGTTTTTTTGTGTGTGTTTGTGTTTTTTAGACAGGGTCTCCCTGTAGCCCCAGCTGGCCTGGAACTTACTATGTAGACCAGGCTGGCCTTGATCCACCTACCTCTGCCTCCTGAGTGCTGTGATTAAAGGCTGTACCACCATGCCTAGCTGAAGGTAACTTTGAAAAAAAAAATCACTATGTAGCTCAGGCTGACACTGAATTCTGCATTCTTCTGCCTCCTGAGATTATAGATATCCACTGGAATTATAGACATCCACTACAACAACCAGTTCAGGAAGGGGATTTTTAAAAATCATGTTAGTCTTCTGTGAATTCAAATAAGTTCTTGAGTGTAAAAAAGTCTCAGAATAGTGCTGGAGATGTAGCTTTATTGGTAGAGTGCTTTCCTAGCATGCACAGGGCCCTGGGGTTGAGTCGCAGGCACTGCATATAACCAGCTATGGTGGAACATGCCTATAATTCCAGCTCTCATGAGTAGAGCAGGAGGCCCACAAAT